AAGGAATCCTCACTTGTCGTTGAATATTTATAAAAGATTTATTTATTTTATTTATTTGTTTTCCACCCTCCCATGCCACCAGGGCAACACGGGTGTATGCAGTAGTGTGATGTTAAGCATTAATGCATAATAACACACTACTGCCATAATATCAGTTTACAAAGTTCTAAGCTGTGCACACAGCTAGCTCTTCTACTTTTTCCTGGCTCCTTGAGGCCTGGTTTCCCGAATCCGGAGGTCTTCCTGGGACTGGTCCTCTTCTCCTTCTGTGTGCACCTAGGTTGAAGTGAGCTGGGCCTACCGCCGTCTTCCAGCCATTTATAAAGTCTTTGAACCGCGGAAAGTTTTCTTCACTCACCAACTGAGGAAACTCCTCCTCAGTGAGGACGTAAATTTCCGTGGTTCTCATTAACCTCGCTCTTAATTCGTCGAAAGCAGTGCAGGCCGTGACCACATGCTCAACAGTCTCCGGAACACCACAAGCGGGGCAGTGGGGATCTATATCCTGTCCGAAGCCATGGAGTTTAGCTCTGAAACCCCCATGCCCCGTGAGAAATTGTGAAACCCAATAGTCCGGGAGGACCCATTTCGCCTGTAACCGAGATTCAACGGTGGGAAAGTATTTTCTTAAGGTACTGCCTTTCGAAGTCGTCACCCACCGTCTGCTCCAATCTTCAATTGTTTCCTCCCGGATAATCTTTTTCCATTTATTTGGGTTTTCAATAATCCTCATCCGTAGGTTCTCCGACAGACTAGTTGAGCCCTCCTTCTTGTAGTCGTACCTGGTCACTTCTTCTCGCAGGAGGAGGTCGAGAGGCACCACCCCCGCTAAGACCTGCACTGCTTCGTGCGACGTAGACCTATATGCTCTGATGACCCGAAGCAGAGCAGTTCTCTGAGTCGATGCTAGCCTATTTCTTTGTCTGATTGTGAGGTTTCGGAACCAGAAGGGAGACGCATACCTAAGGATACCCTCCACAACACCCTTATAAATAGTGATAGTGGCTGGATACCTAAGGCCCCAAAATGCGCCCCCCACACGACTTAGACCGTTCATTGCTAGGGCCACCCTACCTGCCAGATATTCCAAATGAGGCGTCATATTGAGGCCTACACCTAACCTAACCCCTAGGTAGGTTACCACCTCACTTGGACGTATCCTCTGACCTTCTATGTACATCGTTATAGGGTGTGCCCTATCAGTCTTTCCCTTAAGGAGAATGGCTTGAGTCTTAGCAGCAGCCATCCTCATCTTCTTCCCCTCACACCATCTAGCGACTAGGCTGGCGCATCGCTCTGCTTCTCTCTTGACTCCAGCTCTGCTGTCGGAGGCCACCACAGCAGCTAGGTCGTCAACGTAAGCAGTGGCAGGAAACCGCTCCTCCTCTAACACTCCCAGTAACTCATCAAAGACGAGCTTCCATAGAGCAGGACCAAGCACCGATCCCTGAGGGCAACCTCTCTCTGTGGAAGCTTCTACCTCGTAGTAATTGCCTCTAATCTTGACACTTCTATCCTGGAGATAACTTCTTACTAGTTTGTATAAGTTACTAGGAGCATCATACCTCTGCAGCTGCTGGAGCACGCTAGGCCACCATACGCTGTCGAAGGCGGAGGATATGTCGAAAAGAAGCAACATGACATACCGCTCCGCCATATTTATAAAAGATATTGTCTGAGGATTCCCTTCATCGTCACAAGCCGGGAGTATTATTCGCGTCGGTTTATTTACTCCACAGTACTCCATGTGCTCCCTCATCCGCTCAGCGATGTCTCTCCCATCTAAATTGAAATGGATGAGGCATCGCTTACAGACGTGTCTTCCGCTATGGTGCCCTGAAATCTGCGAAGCCACTAATTTGTTAAAATTTTTTATATATGTGTAGTGGCTTCGCCTCTCATCATCTGTCAGAAGAAGGAGATCACGATAATCTGCCTTCTCCTGTTTAACAACTTTCAGCGGATACACGTCTTGCGACTCTCCAACAGCGAAAACATTGATGCTGATATTATTATACCGCTCAAATGTTTTCACCTGGTGGAGAGGAGTGGGAAAGGAAATGCAGTCAAAATTGTACCGATGCTGTAAGTCCCTATATTTACTCACTCTTTGAGGGTGATCATTACTATAGATGAGGTGCGAAAGAATGGCATATTTAAAACAATTTTCATCATTGTTTTCTACATTAATAATGGCCTTTTTTGTGGCTATTTTAGGAGGAAGCCCAATATAGCTGGAGGCGCCCAGAGGTCTAAATCGATTAATCTTAAGGAGAAGACCATCAAGACCTTTTAAGAACCAGCCACTCCCTTTCATGGTCATCTCTTCCATCTCGGTAGCCAACTTCGCATACATCTCACTTAGAGTATCCAAGATGAAAGAGATGTCATATATTGCCTTATTTTTGGTTTTGAAGGCACGATCACACGTCTCTCCTTTAACGTTTTCGAACGTTGCCTCCAACACCAAATTAAATTTTAGGGGAGCGTCTGATTCTACCAAAAATTCAGAAAGCAATCGATGTAGTGTTTCTGTCTGGCTGCATAAAAACTCCACTACATCGATCGGTTCCAAACACGGCAAGAAAAAAGTCTTGAGATCTCCTCCGAACGATGTCTCGATCTCATACAACGACCCCATAGCCGCCTCCAACCGCCTACGCTTCGTCATAACGAGTGGTTTTTCTGTCTGACAACGACGTACATGCTGCATACACTGCTTTACAGAATTAAAAATTTCGTTACAAGAAACGCATGTACGTCGTGTCAGAGTAGTACGACATGTCTTTTCGTGTCGGATTTTGTCAATTTCCTTGTTAAAAACTCTATCACAATACTGACAAGTATTTAAACTAGACATAATGAAATGTAAAAAATTAATTATTAACGTAAATAAATTTAATTTAACTAAACAATAGAAATTAAAAAATGAATTTAAAAAAAAAATTCTTGATTCAAAATAATAATTTTTATTTTTCCAAAAAAAAAAACAATGAAAAAAATGAAAATTTTGGAAATGAATTTAAAAAAAATGTAACTTTTTAAATAATTGAAAAACGATAACTTATTAAAAAGAAAATATAAAAACTACACTTGAGAAAATCAAAATGAAAAAACAATGTTTTATGAAATCAACTCACAGTTTTCCAGAGATGTTCCAGATAGCTGTGGAACACAGAATGAGGAAGAGTCCTCAAACCGCTCCTTTTTGTAGACTGATCTGTTTATATTTTTAGTATTAAAAAGGACAAAGTACATGAAGGAGAACAATAAACGATTAAATGTTTATACTTAGATAGGGATTAAGAAGACCTAAGAGGTTGTTTGCAGTTTGAGGATTCAAAAGAGCAAAGTCCATGTTTACGTGTAAAGGAGAACAATAAGAGATTACAGGTCCAAGTCCATTGTTTATACTTAGATAGGGATTAAGAGGTTGTTTATATTTTAAGGATTAAAGGAGTCAAAGTCCATCCGCTATCTGCGCAATAGAATTATGTGTAGTGTTTACATACCTAAAGTTACTTCAAAATATTTAAATAGGAAACCTCCAGAGGCCTTTTACAGTATTACTACAATAAATATATTTTTTCCAAATAATAATCAAAAATTAAACATAAAATGTCGAATATCTCGAAAACGGTTGGTTTTAGAGCAAAAAGGACCTCGGCCCTAGCCCCCGTAGGGCTCTAGGGGGGTCCACAGAATCCCATATAGAACCCAATACCATAATAAAAAAAGTAGGGAGGTTACTGTAAGGTTATAATAGTTGGGAGGAGAGACGAACGCGAGATTTGTCATAAATATATATGATCCGGTTTACGTAGAATAATGAATAATAAAAAAAAAGAAATATATCATTTTAAAAACTAATAAAAACATAAAATGTCGAATATCTCGAAAACGGTTGGTTTTAGAGCAAAAAGGACCTCGGCCTCCGTAGAATTCCATGTAGAACCCATTACCATAATAAAAAATTAGGAAGGTTACTGTAAGGTTATGCTGGTTATAACGGTTGGGATGGAGGGGGAAGCGCCAGATTTGTCATTATGGAAAAGGTAAACAATAGGGAAGTTATAGAAAAACAAAATGGCGGACAAAGGTCCCCTGTCTCTCAAATCCCTGGTCACGTGACCGATCACGTGACTCTGAAAAGGTAAACAATGAGAAGGTTATATAAAAAATAATCATTAGAGAAGTTATAGAAAAACAAAATGGCGGACAAAGTCCCCCCCGGCTCTCAAATCGCAGGTCACGTGACTCTGAAAAGGTAAACATTGAGAAGGTTATGTAAAAGATAAACATTAGGAAGATTATACATAACATAAACATTAGGAAGATTACCGAAAAAAAAAAATGGCGGCCGGGACTTATCATCTTAGAAAGGAGTGGGGGGAAAATGTGAGGGTCACAGGATCGAAAAGGGGCGTGACGCTATACAAGGCGTAAACCTCGTAAGTACGTGAAAAGAAAATGGCGGTCGGGGACTCCTCCTTATGAGTGGGGGAGGGGGAATACGAGGGTCACAGGATCGAAAAGGGGACCTCGTGACGTCATAGGAGATGCAAACCTCGTAAGTACAAGAAAAGAAGATGGCGGTCGGGTACACTCAGCCTCTTAGAGAGAGGAGTGGGGGGAAAATATGATGGTCACAGGATCGAAAAGGGGCGTAACTGGTGGTCACGTGATTGACCACGTGGTGGTTAAGGCTGGTTAGAGGCCCTAAAAGGCAGCATGGCGTTGTTCAAATTCAAATTCAAACTTCCCGCCATGATGACGTCACTGAAATCCTGGCTTCTGATTGGCTGTGCAGAAAAGTGGCCCAGCTCGCCCAATTCTTCTCTACTAACACTATCGAAGAAATAATGTTATATCAAGGCATCAATAGTATTGATGGATTTTTGGATGTTCTAAACCGTTTTGGGAGAGAAAGAATTCTCAAGGAAAATAATTCCTACCAGAGGCCTTCGGCTAGATATCTTGAAGATAAAGAGCCACCTCAGATGCAAACTAATCAATATGTGAAGGACCAAGGAAATAACCTGCCTTCAAGACCTTATAATGAAAAAATGAACACCAGTCAGTACAACACTGGTTTGCGACCTTATGATAAAAGCTATTCAAACCCAGTACAGAGAAGAAACTTTGATAGAAGCCAGAATTGGAATCAGCCCAATCATCAAGTGAACAAAATTACCGTAGTAAGGGTGAAAAATAATCAAGAACCTCTCAACAGTTATCAACAGAAAACATATCCTGATGAACAGGCAAGACAGAATATAAATAATCAGACTTTCGAAGAGAACTACAGGGCAGCAATTGCTAAACAGCCAGTACAGGCCGAAGAGGAAGATGACATAAATATTGCTTATTTACCAGAAGATACTCATGAGGACTGACAATTAAGGAACAATGGCTCGGTAGACCACATTCAAACTATATCTTTACCTACCGAACCTTCTCAACCCATCACAGAAAATAAAGAATCAACTTTTGAAGAGTATGAGTATCCAAAATTAGTAACAACACAAAATCATAAGAAGATCCGAGCCTTAGTAAATTCAGGCTATAAAACAGTCAGTTTAAGCCAGGAAGCACGTAAAATAGAGTTGGAGCACACTGGACTAGAGAAGCTGCCAGTACCTAACACTGTAGCGACTTAGACTGTAGCGACGTAGACGACTACTAGATGGTCTAAGCCTATGACGAGACGACGATGTGAGAAGACGACGACGGATGTGATTCTTCCTAACCACGCCACCAACGACGAAGGCAGAATAATCGAAGAAGAACCAGAAGACCCTAGAAGCTATCTCCGCGGCAAAGTCAAAATAAAATGACTATGATAAAGCCGATATTCTTAATCGGGTACAGACCAAAAGGACTTTTTAAAGGAAATTTTTCGTGTCTAATGATCTTTGTAATAAAACACTCTGCTTACTTGTGAGATAAAAGATATGACTTCTTTTTAATATAGCGACTTTTGTAACTGAAAACTATTGTTATCTAATTTTATACTTGTTTAGAAGAATGTTTGATGAAAAAGTAAATAATAACTTGTAATAATTATATCACTGAATTTTTTTTTATTTGACAATTATAGTGAAAAAAAATGTTTAATAATCATTTTTTTTTAAACACAGGATAGGGTAAATGTAACATATTTTATTAGGGCCTTTATAAATATGTTTTTGGGCGCAGAGTCAAGTTATAGCGCTCTGGAGCGTGAACTATTAGCCGTTGTGTGGGCGATAAATCATTTCCGTCCCTATTTGTTTGGAAGACGGTTCACAATTCGCACATATCATAAGCCGTTACTGTGGACAAGTGGGCTTAAGGAATCATCAGCATGGGTAGGGCGGTGGAAGGAAAAATTGCGGTCCTTCGCCTTCGATATTGTGCACCGGAAAGGCTCACTAAACGTCGTCGCTGATTGGCTGTCCAGAGCTCTGTATGCTAACCCCTTACAAGAAGCAGGTCCTTCTAGGGCATGTCCATGGGAAAATATATCGACGGAACCACTACCAGTGCTCAGACCTTAGTATGCAGTGGCACTTCAATTCTCAAGGGAATCCGCCAGGACGGGGAGCCATTGAACGGCTTCATAATATTCTAGGGGAACACCTTCGCTTGTTTCAGCTCCATAGAGGATTGGGAGCGCAAGTAGCAATGCCTAGAGCGGTATTAGCATATAATAACACTATCGACTCAGCCATGGGATTCACACCGGTGGAAATAGTGTTTGGCCATTCTTTACGGGACAGGGGTGATATTCCCACTACAGCGTACTTACACTTACGTGACGCGGTTTTACATAAGCGTAAGCAACTCGCGTATATACGTCAGAAGGCCCACACCAAACTAATTCAAGAAAAACTCTGAAGAGCGAATCGCAACTGTCTAGCTGTCCCCGATGAATCGCATAAAATTCAACTAGATATGACGGCATATCGGCGGTCAACGTCGAGTCGGCGAAAGGGAGACGAGCGTTACGAAGGACCATTCAAAGTGATAGCATTACGGGAGCATAATATTGTATCAGTTCGAGAGCTTACTGGTAATCAACGAGTAAAGCACACACATATACGTCATCTCCGCATTCCTCTTGACCCCCAGGTACTGCTGAGAATGACATTCCACAATACACCCTATAAGGATTTTTTTTTTTTGTTTAATATTATTTTCGTGTAATTGCTCTAAGTTATAGTTTAATTTGTGATTTTTGAATGTTTATTTCTACTTTTTTATTATTTTCAGTAATATTTGTGTCCTATGCACGTATAACGCTGAGTTCACTTTGTGAACTGGGAGGGGAGTGTTAAGTAGGGTGCTTCAGTAAAGCTTGTGAATAATAAGATAAGCCTTGATATCATTTTCACGTATTTAAAATAATAAGAAAAACATACGTTAGCTGTTATCTATTAAAAACGTTTTGTAAAATCATTAATTTGAATTAATAAAAGTTATTTGTTATTGACACTATATCTGAATCAATTGTGTACTGCTGAGCTAGCCTAAAGTTAACTTGTATATCTATATTGTAACATATTTTATTAGGGCCTTTATAAATTGTGATTGTTAACAGAACTCATGTTCATGTTTTGTTCTTTTATTATTTTTGAACTGTGTGAAAAGAAGTATTTATATGTAATATATTTATAAATTCAATTTATTGCTAGGTATTTTATTAATTTTAGTTGAGACTTAATTTGAAATTGTAAAAACAATAATAACATTTAACTAGCGATTAGGATTAAAAGGTACAATGTATTAGAGCTAACGGACGGGAGGTCCTTCTCTGTCAAAGGTTGAATAGTAAATGACTAGTGGTATGGTGTTTTGGAAGTTGAACGTGGCGCCCTCTAGGCGTTGTTCTAATGAAATATTTCATTCATTTATGCAAGTCATTGTTTTTTTTAATAATGATTAATAATTTTAGTAGCGCAACCAGTTAATTGCCTAGTGAACTATGAATTTCATTTTGAAGCTATTTATTATTTCCTTTTGTAATTACTGATTTTGTAAATAACTAATGTTTGTAATATTTTTAAAATAAGTATTCATGAACTATAATTAAATAAAACTAAAAGGAGTTTGGACTTAGAGATCTCAGGGCCCAATTAAAATAATTGGTACTAGTGTTCACTAACCTGAAAACAGGTCTGAGGGCTGGTTATTAGTTTAAATAGAGGCCTGGTCCATAGGGCGGGCACTCTCTCCCGAGTCACTACCCTCTCCTCACAAAGGCTCCTGGTATCTCTCTGTCTGACAGTTTGAAACCAGACCAATGTGTTATTTTTTGGTTTTACCTTCCTCCCTCTCTGTTCTCTCCTAACCTACCTCCTCTCTCCTTTCGTAGGAATTACTTGGTTGGCCCTTGTTTTTCTACAGTTCCCTTCGCATCTTCCAGGTTATCCCTGGGAGTGTAGGATTACCTATCCTTGCAACGTCAGGGGATTGCCTCCTCGGTTGCTGAGCCCTGGATGTGTAGGGGTTGTCCCCCTATCATTCTTGGCGGTCTTACCTTATCCTATCCTCGCAACGTCAGGGGATTGCCTCCTCGGTTGCTGAGCCCTGGATATGTAGGGGTTGTCCCCCTATCATTCTTGGCGGTCTTACCTTATCCTATCCTCGCAACGTCAGGGGATTGCCTCCTCGGTTGCTGAGCCCTGGATGTGTAGGGGTTGTCCCCCTATCATTCTTGGCGGTCTTACCTTATCCTATCCTCGCAACGTCAGGGGATTGCCTCCTCGGTTGCTGAGCCCTAGATGTGTAGGGGTTGTCCCCCTATCATTCTTGGCGGTCTTACCTTATCCTATCCTCGCAACGTCAGGGGATTGCCTCCTCGGTTGCTGAGCCCTGGATATGTAGGGGTTGTCCCCCTATCATTCTTGGCGGTCTTACCTTATCCTATCCTCGCAACGTCAGGGGATTGCCTCCTCGGTTGCTGAGCCCTGGATGTGTAGGGGTTGTCCCCCTATCATTCTTGGCGGTCTTACCTTATCCTATCCTCGCAACGTCAGGGGATTGCCTCCTCGGTTGCTGAGCCCTAGATGTGTAGGGGTTGTCCCCCTATCATTCTTGACGGTCTTACCTTATCCTATCCTCGCAACCTCAGGGGACTGCCTCCTCGGTTGCTGAGCCCTGGATATGTAGGGGTTGTCCCCCTATCATTCTTGGCGGTCTTACCTTATCCTATCCTCGCAACGTCAGGGGATTGCCTCCTCGGTTGCTGAGCCCTGGATGTGTAGGGGTTGTCCCCTATCATTCTTGGCGGTCTTACCTTATCCTATCCTCGCAACGTCAGGGGATTGCCTCCTCGGTTGCTGAGCCCTAGATGTGTAGGGGTTGTCCCCCTATCATTCTTGACGGTCTTACCTTATCCTATCCTCGCAACCTCAGGGGACTGCCTCCTCGGTTGCTGAGCCCTGGATATGTAGGGGTTGTCCCCCTATCATTCTTGGCGGTCTTACCTTATCCTATCCTCGCAACGTCAGGGGATTGCCTCCTCGGTTGCTGAGCCCTGGATGTGTAGGGGTTGTCCCCCTATCATTCTTGGCGGTCTTACCTTATCCTATCCTCGCAACGTCAGGGGATTGCCTCCTCGGTTGCTGAGCCCTGGATGTGTAGGGGTTGTCCCCCTATCATTCTTGGCGGTCTTACCTTATCCTATCCTCGCAACGTCAGGGGATTGCCTCCTCGGTTGCTGAGCCCTGGATGTGTAGGGGTTGTCCCCCTATCATTTTTGGCGGTCTTATCTTATCCTATTCTCGCAACGTCAGGGGATTGCCTCCTCTGTTGCTGAGCCCTAGATGTGTAGGGGTTGTCCCCCTATCATTTTTGGCGGTCTTATCTTATCCTATTCTCTCAACGTCAGGGGATTGCCTCCTCTGTTGCTGAGCCCTGGATGTGTAGGGGCTGTCCCCCTATCATTCTTGGCGGTCTTACCTAACCTATCCTTACACTGAGACCCAATCTCTCCTAACCCTATACTTCCTTACTCCTTTCGTAGGAATAACTTGGTTGTCCATCGTTTTCCTACAGTCCCCCTTGCGTCTTTCAGGTTGTCCCTGGGAGCGTGAGGTCACCTATCCTTGCAACGTCAGGGGATTGCCTCCTCTGCTGCTGAGCCCTGGATGTGTAGGGGTTGTCACTCTATCATTCTTGGCGGTCTTACCTTATATACCTTATCCTTTTCATCCTATCTAAGCTTATACACCCCATTCTTACAAAGTTAAATAGATACATGAATACCAGGCTAATTGACTAACAGAAAGATTAAAGTTTAGAAGGACAGATTTCAGATTTTAAAAAACAAACGTCGGCAATAACAGACAGACAGAGAGATAAATAAAAAAAAAATATTACTATATATATATATATAATAGACCTGGGCACTCTTGAAATAATTTATTTCTGAAATAATTCACATGGTTATTCCACGAATGAATTATTTTGAGAATAATGGTTATTTCTGAAATCATATTTCAAACAGTCAATGAAATAATCTCCATGGAATAACTGCTGAATTTATTTCTGAAATAATTATTTCAATATTTTAACATTCTTTGGAATAAAGTAAATTATTTCGAAATGAGTTATTTCTGAAATAAATTATTTCATAACTATTATTTCAGAATTATTTATTTCATAAATAAATTATTGCAAAAATTAAGAAATAAATATTTCACAAATAACATTGTTCTGAAATAACATAAAAAATTTACCAAAATGCACCATGTTTTCGGGGTATCTTTTTATGAAAATATCGTCGAGATTGGGTGGACCCAAATAAAAAAATTAAAAAACTGAGACGTTTCAGGTTTGTACATGCTATTATAATAGTCCGGAAGCCCGTGGCAAAAAAGATGTCCTATTTCATACTAATCTTTGTTCTTATTAATTGATCATGTCAAAAGGCCTGATGAGAAAAAGTTTTTATGTATAGTTTCGAAGTCTAATCATTAAATTATAATTGTTCTAGCCTTTGAATGGTTGAAGATAAGATAGTAAAGTAATATATATATATATATTAATTGTTCTAGCCTTTGAATGGTTGAAGATAAGATAGTAAAGTAATATATATATATATATATCTGTTGCTGAGCCCTAGATGTGTAGGGGTTGTCCCCCTATCATTTTTGGCGGTCTTATCTTATCCTATTCTCTCAACGTCAGGGGATTGCCTCCTCTGTTGCTGAGCCCTGGATGTGTAGGGGCTGTCCCCCTATCATTCTTGGCGGTCTTACCTAACCTATCCTTACACTGAGACCCAATCTCTCCTAACCCTATACTTCCTTACTCCTTTCGTAGGAATAACTTGGTTGTCCATCGTTTTCCTACAGTCCCCCTTGCGTCTTTCAGGTTGTCCCTGGGAGCGTGAGGTCACCTATCCTTGCAACGTCAGGGGATTGCCTCCTCTGCTGCTGAGCCCTGGATGTGTAGGGGTTGTCACTCTATCATTCTTGGCGGTCTTACCTTATATACCTTATCCTTTTCATCCTATCTAAGCTTATACACCCCATTCTTACAAAGTTAAATAGATACATGAATACCAGGCTAATTGACTAACATATATATATATATATATATATATATATATATATATATATATATATATATATATATATTATATATATATATATATATCTATATATATAGATATATATATATATTCTTAACAAAATTTAATATTAAACAATTTTCTTCCTCATGATATTTTCAAAAAGTGAAAAGATTAAGGCTCTCCGCTCACGAGGCGAGAAAAATCGAGGAGAACTGTGCGTCAAACTCGTCAAAATTCGCTTAATTCGCCAATACAAAGAGTTGAGATACACTCGAACTCTGCGTCTTATGCGATTTTAGCTACAATATATATGTATATTAATACTTTTTAATATCGGGAATGAAGACTTTATTTTTCAATGTTAAAACACTTTTTAGGCAATGCAGAAGTAGACGAAAATAAGAAAACAGTGTAGAAAATTTTCCAAATTTTCATTCGTTTTTCCTCTTTTATTACGTGAATGGACGCTCGGTTTTTCATCGTCCCAACAATTTTCCAAGTGTTCAGAGTTTAGCAAAAATGAGAAACAAGTGCAAAACTTTTTCCGAATTTTCATTCGCTTTTCTCCTTTTATCTCGGGAATGAAGGTTCGGTTTTCTAGTGTTATAACCATGTTCCGCCAATGTAAAAGTAGGCGAAAATGAAGATATAATGTAAAGAATTTTCCGAATTTTCTTTCGCTTTTTCTCTTTTATCTCTTGAATTAGTGCTCGGATTTTCACAATTCCAATCATTCCGTTAAGAGGAAGAGAAATGGCAACAGTATTGGTACAAATTTTCCGAATTTTCTTTCGTTTTTCCTCTTTTATTACGTGAATGGACGCTAGGTTTTTCATCGTCCAAACAATTTTCCAATTGTTTAGAGTTGGGCGAAAATGAGAAAGAAGTGCAGAACTTTTCCGAATTCTGAAAAATTCTGACAATTTTCTCCAATACTGCTTTCATTGGCTTATCTTTAAAAATTGGGAAAATGTTTGGAACAGTGAAAATCCGTGCACTCATTTAGAAGATATATGAGGAAAAGCGAATGAAAATTCGGATAATTTTCACCAATAGTGTTTTCATTGGCATATCTTTACAAATTGGGAAAATGTTTGGAACAGTGAAAATCCGTCCACTCATTCAGACGATAAATGAGGAACAGCGAATGAAAATTCGAATAATTTTCACCAATACGGTTTTCATTGGCCTATCCTTAAAAATTAGAAATATGTTTGGAACATTAAAAATCCGAGCGCTCATTTAGGAGATAAAAGAGGAAAAGCGAAGGAAAATTTAGAAAATTTTCTACAGCATTTCCCTATTTTTGTCTACATCTACATTGCTGAAAATGATTTCTAAAAATGATAATTCGAGTACTCATTTTAGAGATAAACGAGGAAAAGTGAATGAAAATTTTGATAATTTTCACCAATATTGTTTTCATTGGCCTATCTTTAAAAATTAGGAAAATATTTGGAACATTGAAAATCCGTGCACTCATTTTGCACATAAATGAGGAAAACCGAACGAAAATTCGGAAAATTTTTTACACCATAAAGAAGTCCTAAATAAAATATCACTTATCAGACTGTAGAAATAATCAAAGAAATATAAACAAGAATCAGTATTTATTATTAATAATACGGCCATAACTATTTTTATAAAGTAATTCATGCGTCAAGCTCGAATTTTCTCGCTTCAGTTCACTGCTATCTCGCTTGAATTTCTACTCTCTCGTTGAGGAGATATATAGGAATTGACTGGGAAGTAGTGTTGTTGGGGCACCGCGCCTAGCTCTCTCGATTTTTCTTGCTCCGTTGGGGAGGCACTTGTCGCACAGTTCGATTCCATCTCGCTTCGTGGTCAAGTCGTCTCGCTTCGAGTTCGAGTCTTCCCCTCGCTACGATTCCATCTCGCCTTGTTGGGGATCTATGTAGAAATTGACTTGGAAGTAGTGTGGTTGAGGAATCCCACATGTTTCGGGTCCCTCTAGTTTCGAATTAATTCCGATTGCTATAAAAAA